CCCCCCGACTCCTGCCCAGCGAAAGGTGATTTCTGCTACCCCCCACTACCCCATGCCACATGGGGGTCTCTGCCATGAGCCCCCAGAAGCCCCAAGGCCGCTGCAGGAGCCAGAGAGTCCATTTTTGGTTTTTTTTAAAGGGCCAGGAGCTGGGGCAGGTGAGGGTTGGAGGGCTTGTGGCAGAGTCCCTCATGCAGCGTGGGACAGTGGGGGGCAGTGGGGAATCCCCCACCACCCAGTAGCACCTGGTGAGTAGGGTTTGTTTTTTGTTTTTTTTAAACAACCAGGAGCTCTTGGGGGGGCTGGGGGAACGGCAGGGGATGGGTCCTGGCAGGGTTCCCCCCCTGGTCCCCTCCCCCTCCTCCAGCCTCCCTTACGCTTCCCACTACTTACTGGCATGGAGTCCAGGTCTAGCTCCCTGCTGCAGCCACTGGGGACTGCCCGAATCACTGAAGCGCTCCAAATCAATTCGGACCTTTTAATTGGTTCCCTGATTTGATATGGATTTGGAGATTCAGCCACCGAATTGGGCTGAATCTTCTCTGAATCGAATCAGCACCCAAAGTGTTTCACAGCCCTACTGCCTGGTGCAAGCACTACAGATCACAGCTGTAAGGTTGCCTTTTGAGGACCACACCACAAGCCTTGATATGGGAAAGGAGGGTGGTGTGGGGCCAGTCTATAGTGTTGTTCAGGTTCTGGAGAACAATCCTTGGGATGCTGATTTAGGGTATGGATGTAGGATACATTTACTTCGTAGTAAATTGACTTTATGTGGCAAGGATGCATGACATATAGCTCTGCTATATAGGAAATCACTTGACTCCAGGATAAAGTTATCCCTTGAAATATGTATAGTAACTATACCATGCAAGAAAACCACTATACAGAATGAGTTTTGTGTCCACTCTCCTAGTTGGTTTCAGGGGAAGGAGTGGGGGAAAGGGTAGCTATTTGCATAATGCACAGTTTTCTTATCACCCATTGACCCAGCACTATAACAGCACCTGCTGATGTCAGCCTTCCTGGACTAGTTATGTGCTTACTCCTTACTGAGCACATTTACATGGGATATTTATTGCAGAGTTGCCTAATTAGCTCCTCAGTAAATGTCTTGGTATCTACATATGTGGCCCCATTAGGCTGCAGGAAACTAATAAACTCCACAACAGTATTACTTGTAAGTACAAGTACTATCCTATTGTAGAGTTTTTCATGTGCAGCAACACACATACAGACGCTGACCTGGCTGGCTAGGGCATGAGGGTGCTTCAGTGCAGGGGCTACCTGCTGGCTAGCCCTACACTAAAGTACCCTCATGTCCCAGCCTCATGCATCTGCAGCATATTGAGCTGGGTCAGAGCAGTCCCAGGCTAGCAGGCTGACCCCCCAGACTCCCTGCCAGCCAGGGCTGCTCTGACCCAGTTCAGCATGCTGCAGTTCCAGGTGCATATTCAAATGGTATGCCCAGGAGCAATTAATTCAAGTGCAATATGAGCCAGAGTTTATTGCTTTGAATTAACTGCACATGTAAATGTTCCCACTAAGGAGTAAAATGACTTAGTAGTGAGGCTGAATCACACCATAACTAGCATGTCATTTGTCAGCACCGTAGACAGGTTTGTCTACTTTATACTGGAGGCCTCTCCAGCTCTAAGACTGCCTATATTGGGAGGACAGTGAGTTTTTAAAACCACCTTATCCATTGGTCTCCCTGAGCTAGAGTTTCTAGAATGCATCTCAGAGGCACGGCACAGACTAACCCTGTTGGGTGATGTTGGACACGTCTCTGTTTCATTGCCACCATTTGCAAAATAGGAATAATGATTCTGACCTCATTTTTATAGCACTACGAGACATCCTGATAAAAAATGCTACAGAAGAGTTAGCTGGCATCAATATGTACTTCCAACAACCCTTCTGTGATTGTAAATTGGGTCAGAGAGGTTTATTAGTGATGCTGCTTAGAAATGAAAGAAAGCCAGCAAGGACCCAAGTTACATCAGTTCTACCCTATCTTCTTAAAATAGTAGGGACTCAATATGAAATATTCTGAGCTAGTCTTTATTTAACACTGAAGGGGACAGGTACATGGGTTTGGACAGATTTCTCTAGGTCATTCTAAGTCAGTTAAGTGGGTCAAAATTGCAGCATGTCCAAAGGCATATATTTAAGGTCAGGGACAGTTGAACACAGGCCCAGTGTAATTTAGATCAGTTTTATATACCAATGGAAATTCAACCAGGATTGGAAATAGACGGATGAGCAGCTGTCACTAGATAGGTGGCTATAACTGCACCTTGTAACTAGTAATAGGAAAGGAGTGGGGAAACAAGTAATAGCTTGCTTGCCTTTAACAAATATCTACACTGGGATAGACATGATGGGTGCTTACAGACATCATGGGGGGGGCGGGAAACAGCAATTTACTTTCAGCTCAGCGCACCCTGCGTTGAGCACAGCATATGCCCAGAAGAGGAATCACATCAGTTTGACCCGGCTTGCCCAGCGTCTGCATAGCTTACATACTTCAGCAGGGCTTTTTGGTGTTTTTATCTAATAGCTAATTAATCACCTATTAGATAAAAGTACCAGAAAGCCCTGCTGAAGTGCGCAGGCTATACAGACACTGGGGAGCCGGGTCAAATTGATGTGATTCTTCTTCCAGTAAAGCACTTCCAGGAAGTCTTCTCCATCAGGTTGGGTGAAGTTACCTCATGTTGCATCATCTGTACACTGCTTTTTAATACTAGTTTCATGCTGTTTATGCTGGTCTAAACATTGAATCTCTCTCTATGCTTTAAGTCTTCACCACAGCCTTGATAAATTTAATGCAAAACTCATCACTTTATTTTAGAACTAAGTACACACCCCCAGCAAATTCAGCAACTATTCGACCTCCCTTCATGAAGAGATGCTCTTCATGAAGGGAAGGCATCAACCTTTCCATTTTGCATCAACCTTTTCCTTTTGCATCAACCTTTCCATTTTGCTCCTTAAGGCGTTAATTAGCCCCCAAATTCATTCTTTCCTCACAGAGAATGTACTCAAAACAGCCATGTTAGTCAAATTGTGCTCAAAACAATTACTGTGAACTGAAATATTCCAAGTACAAAGGCATAAGGTGGGGAGGGGTGGGAGGGTATGATGGGCAATTCATTATGAAGCCTGGAAAAGCTCTAGTATTTTCTACTGCAGGCAGTGGTTGCCATCTAGTGGGTGCAGATGTTTAGTACCATCTTCTTATTGCAAGTAGCCCAGCCCACTGCTTTTATAGGATGGCAAGTGGACTTTGAATTTCAGAGCATGGAAGAAATTTATGTATCAAAACAAAAATGTTTAGAGATTTTAGTCTTAGAGCAACTTGTGCCACATGGAAAAAAATTGAAAAGTAATCAGTTCAGAAACAATTCTGTATGTATAATGTAGTCTAGCCTATTTTATATAGCAAGAAAACAGGGGGTCAGCAGGGCAGGCCCTATGATGAGAGGCTGAGGGACTTGAACCTGTTCAGTCTCCAAAAGAGAAGGCTGAGAGGGGACCTAGTGGCAGTCTACAAACTATGAAAACAAGAGGAAAAGTGCTAACCGAACTGGAATCTATAGAGTTACATGCATACCAATGATAGCAGAATTTTTGCTTCATTGGGTCAGAATACAAGGGAGTCGGTTGGGGGGGGGGGGCGGGACTTAACAGTGGGGGTCTACTACAGGCCACCCAGCCAGGGGGAAGAGCTGGACAGGGAATTCTCAGGTCAGCTCGTGGAGGCAGTTAGGTCAAGGGACATGGTCATCATGGGTGACCTAAACTATCTGGACATCTGCTGGGAAGAGCAGTCAGCCAGTTCGGCTGGCTCATGTAGGTTCCCAGCCAAGTTACAGGACCTCCACCTAACCCAGGAGGTGCACAGTCCCACCAGGGGAAATGCATTATTGGGCCTGGTCCTGGCCACAGGTGATGAGTTGGTGAGGGGATTGTGGGTTCTCATCCACCTAGGCAATAGCGATCATCGCCTGCTGGAATTCAACATCCAGCACAGGATGTCAAAGGCCTGCAGCAAGGCAGCAGCCCTGGGCTTAAGGAGGGCGGGTTTCAATGAGGTAAGGAGACTAGTCAAGGAGGCACTGAGGTCCCGGAGGGGAGGGGATTTGGGAGTCCAAGGAGAGTGGTTGTTCCTGAAGGAGACAATTGTCCAAGCCCAAAGGGTGACAATCCCCACATGGATCAAAGGGGGCAAGAGAGTGCTCAAAAGCCCCCATGGCTCACCAAAAGCATCCAGGAATGTCTCAAAGCCAAAAAGGAGGCATATACCCAATGGAAAGGAGGGGCTATCACCAAGGAGGATTATACCTCCATTGCTCGAGATTGTAGGGGGGCTGTAAGGAAGGCTAAGGTGAAGATGGAACTGGGACTAGCGACCCAGATCAAGGACAACAAGAAGTCCTTTTTTAAA